TTGTTGATATGGTTATTCATTCTAATTCTATGTTAATTAATGGTTTGTTATAGAATTTATAACTTGGCTAAACATAAAGAAGAACAAATAAAAACAGTATTATGTTTATTGATAATAAATGAATATAGAAATGTATCTTATCATAAACAATGACATAAAGCATTGAATAATTATAATATTATAAAATAGTTAGAAATTGTATTTGTGATACAAAATTCAAATGATTATTTGGTTATATATTTAATAATGAAGATTATGCAGTTGTTGCAAATATTGTATTTAAGTGTCTATTTCACGTAAATACTATCATCATTATCACCTATACAAATGTAATTCTTCTTATCAATTCTTATCAATTTAGAAAATTATTCAACCAAAAAAAGAATTTATTGTTTCGTAATTGCTTTGTCTTTCTTTATGAATAACAAGTAATTTATCAAATACATTCTTTAAACTATTCATAATAAAATAATACTTTCACTTATTTGATCTCAACTAATTATTGTATCTTTTATTATTGTTTATTTTATTGTCCTTTGTCAATTTTCTTTCTTACTCTGGTTTCATTTTCATTATTCATAGTTTTTGTTCAATTTTGTGTTTCTGTTTTCTTTTTACTTCAATTATATAATTCATTCAACATAGTTGAGTATAGTGCTGTTATCATAAATGATATTGTCATTATCAAATTCAATGCATTTCTTGATTATTAATATTCTAATATCTTAATAAATTTCTTTTAAATATTTGAATATACTTGATGTATTTTTATTAAATAAAGAGAATGATACTTCGTTGTTATTTGAAATAAATATTTAATTGTATGTGTTTTGTTGAAGAATGGTGTTATTTTTAATATCATTTTAACATCATATGTGTGTTATTTTCACTGAATTGATGATATAGAATAAACACACTCTATTTCCATGTTTATTTTATCTTTTAACATTTGAATAGAATCTGTTCTTGGTTCAACGATAATGTTTCCGAAAGAAATGAAAATGGAATAACAAAAATACAGCAGAAGTATCAGAAACAAGTTTTCTTATAAGTGTTCTATCGTTTTGCTTATTTTCTTTATTTAATTGATTTGCATCAACACAAAATATAAGTAAACGTCTAAAAAACATATGCAGAAATTAGTGGTGGTATTGCATCTTGATTTTACAATTATTCTAAAGTATTAAAAGTAGCAACAAAACACTCAAAAGATTACAAAAACAATGATGAATAAGACTTTCAAGAAAAAAATAAGTGAAGAACTTCTCATTAGTTTGAACATATGAGAAGAAATAATTAATGGTTCTTGTGTTAAAATTCTACAACAATATGAAAGAAGGTTAAAAGAAAGAGCCTTTCTTCTAAGTGAAGAAATACTTGAGAAGTGTCAAATCTTATTAGGAATAAAACTGATTTTCTTTTACATAAGGGTTTTTAATAAACGATATTAGGAAACTATTCATAGAATATCAAAACAATAGTTCAGTATTCATAATTTACATTATCACTCTTGTTTCTGTTATTGACACATTATAAATAGTAACTTTCCCTTTCAACTATCAGAGAATACATAAAACAGTTTTATTAGCTACTTATTTGATAATTTTTTGAACAAAACTTAAGTTGTTTGTTTTTAGTTACAACATCTCCTAATATTAATTTGTGAATAATAAAAAAATTTCAGTGATAAGTTTGATTTTACTCAATGTTTGTAAAATACTTAGTTCATGGTTGTAAAATTTTTTAAGCTCATAATTTCTTATCAAATGTTTTATTTTCAAGTATGTTTTTTATTTAGTTTTTTTTATATTTAGAGGATTAAAAGTAAACAAACTTTCCATATTTTCTGTCAAAGACATTACTCCATTTGTCATCTGAACAATTCAAAGCTTGCGTTTGACTTAAGTCATTAGCAGCGGTTCTTATACTAAGTTCAAATTCTATGTAAATGAAAAAATAAAAAGAAGAATTAAATTCATTTGGCATTTATGCTTGAGCTTGTGGGAGAATGAACTTGTTCAACGAACACACAAAGCTGAAGAAAGTTTTTACAAATGGGATTGGATGAACTTCCCTTTTATCAAAATGAACTTCGAAGGATAAACAAACCAACTATTTATGTTAATTGTTTTACATAATTTAATAAAACACAACACAAATAAAAACAAACGAAGGGGAATAGAAGAGAATATAATGTGTTACTAATAATTTGATCCACAAAGAAACAAGATAAAGTAAATAATGAGCCAAAACCAACAAAGAAGAATAGTCTACTATCAATGCAATAAACAACCTTTTCTAGATTCATGTTTTGGTAACGTAATTGAAGTTTTAAATTAAATGCATAAAATGCATATAAAATATCAATCATAAATAACTCAAATATTCTCAAAAAAGGAATTAATCGAATAAGCAATGAAGAAGCTAACATAGTCATAGTTAATAATGTAAAATATAAAGAATAAGGACCAGCTCCAATTTGGGCATTAGAATTATGTTTGATATGGTTGTATTGTTCTGCTATAATTTTGTAATAGCTTTCTGATTTATACAAAGCATAAAGTAATAACGAATTATACGTTATAGTGTAAAAGATATTCCACACAGTTGAGACTGCTCCTTCTAATTCTTTTTGTTCATTTCCAAACTGATGAAGTAACAAAGGGAAAATTAAGTAATTTGAAATAGTGTAAAACCCTCCTAATACAATAACATTAATAAGTACAATGCGTGAGTATGGATGAATAAATAGATCCTTATTCTTGAGAATTCTAGTAAAAACAACACGAATCCATTTGTATGATTTAACTCCATTAATAAACAACTTAAATGAGCTAACAGTTTGAAGTTGGTTTTCCATATTTTTTTGGTTAGTGAGGATTTCTTCACTTATTTCACTGGTGTTGTCAGTTTCATTTATTTGGTTGACTTTGTGCAAGATCGTATTGTTAATATCTTGTTCTTTTTCTTCTTTTGGGATATTATTGTCTTCAGTTAGTGAATTGTCAATGAGCGTTGAATAATCGCTCAACTTTTTTGTTGTTTTTGGGATTTCTTTTTTCCCTAAATAATCTTCTTCCAATTCATTGGGGAATTGACCTTTTATTTTTACAGACATGTAAATTGTTTTTTTTAGTATTTTTTTTAAGAAACATCATTTAACGATTTTTGAAAAAAAAATCAAACCCAGTTGTATAAATTTTTCATATATTTAATTCCAACAATAACTGTAAGTTTGAAATATCAACAATGCCATGTCGATTGAATAATTAAAAATAAATTGTATTTGATTTTATTGGATTTATCATGATTATTTATTAACTTCGCTATTGTTGAACATTTACAAATATTTAATTTTCATTTTTAACAGTAAATAACATTCTTGTTATATCACAATACACATGTTTTCATCCATAAATAAAAAACTATCATTTTTTATATGAAGCAATACTACAAAAATAAATTTAACGTTTAATTCATATATTCAGAGTGTGGTAAAGTTTTATAACTTGAATTTTGGTATTTTGTTCTTCTTGTATAAAAGACATGTGTTTCTTCAGGATTATATCTTGTTAATTTAAAAATAAGCAAACTTTTGTACTTTATTTCAAATAAAGCATTGTTTTATAACAGTATTAAAGAATTAAAACAGATAAGAGGTTTATTCTAGTTTAAATGAAAATAATCATTGACAATTAAATTCAGTATATTTGTTTTGTAATTGTTTCTTTTAATACATTTTTCTGTTAAACTTCAAATCTAACACTTATATTAATAAACAAAATGATAAGATAAGAAATGATAAGATATTTGAATAAATAATATGTTGATACAAGAAGTATCTTATTTTCATTTAATTTATGATTATTGTGTCATAACTATTCTTATATTTTTATT